TTTTCCAGAACGTTTAATGGCTGTCAAGAGTTTTTATGTGTTTTTACAGATACATTCAAATTACGCACACAGGACTTGTCAACAATGCTTAATAGTTGCTATAAAATGTTGACACTTTAATTACCTGTCAGCAGGCCAGTACCGTCATTGTTCCATTGTCCCACCAAAATGGCCCCTTTATGAGCATCTACACTTCGTTCGATTCTGCCGGATCGGTTCATTAGATGAAACCTGAAAAAATGGTGTTTTTTAAATATATTCAAATGGATGCGTTAAATAAGCAACCGTACTTTCCATCTGAAGATGTTATAAGAATTAGGACTCCATGCCGACCAAGACTGTTCTCATGTCTGGGTAGGAATTGTAGGTCGGTTGCAAATAGGTTTGGATCAAGCTGAGCTATTTTCGTGGGTTGAGTGGTGAATGTGGACCATGAACGAATTTGGTTATCCTCACTAAAATTTCAATGCAACAATGACTAGAGCTGAAAATTTAATCCAAATTTAATACGGACTCGTACCGTTTCCGTTTCCGGAGAAACAAAAAATAATAAATCAGTCATCCGTCACGATCCGAATGGAAAATTGCACTCAAATGGTATCGCAAATCGCATATTATAAATAGTTAAATTAATATAAGGAAAGAAATTCCTTCTTCCATAGGTTTCGTACCGATGGTAATTGTTAAGTATTTCTCGACTGTAGAGTGTCGTGGAAATACAACTTAACCGCCATGAAAGAAATTGTTACGTTCAACTAGCCAAATTATCAGTAGATTAAAAAATGAACACATTTACCTGATTAAGTACACTTCATCTGTTTTACTCCAGCCGACGCACGTCACCCGAATACCATTATCCAATTTTTGTCTAAGGGTCACTTTGAGCCTCATTTTGAAGAAACGAACAACAGAAAATAGAAAATACTTATTCTCTAAATAAATGTCAATTATTTGCCATATAAGCTTGTTGTTTCCTAATCGCTAGACGGTGGCTTGGTTTGTATCAAGTTCCGTGTCCTGAGGTTGTCATGGAAGTATGCGCGATACTCAATTATTTTCCATTTCAATTCAGAGCAAGTCTAGGGGGCTTGCAATTAAACGAATTCTCAATATCAACACAGTGCTAGTTGAGGGGAGACAAAGAATGTGTGTAGCAAATGCTTTTATCGCATCAAATTAATATGCCATATAGATTAAATCCGGTCTTCTGTAATTAGATTTATGTGGCAATCAAGTAGTATATAGATTTGCCCTTGTAAAAGTACATTGACAGCCAGAATATCGATTAATTAGTTCACTATTCGTCAACCATTTGTCGACATGAGTTCAGCTTTCGCAAAATACGACCAGCCTTGTCCAATAAAGAAAAAACACAAAACTGCAACAATCGCTTTATTGTTCGAAAATCCGCGCTTTCATCTGATGTGGTTTCCAATTTAGCTCCGGCTGGGTCCGATCCAATTACTAAACAATCCATTAGGACAAAAGGGACCAAGGTATTATATCCTGGAAAATATTCCGTGGTCAGAATAGCACCAGCGCCTCGCCATCTCCAGATTGGGAGGCCTCCTTAATCCCGCTTTAACAATGGCTGACGGAAAGTTAAGAGGGCAGCTTTAGTAGTTGGGCTACTGTTCAACGTGCCGATAACATTATGCACGATTTTACGAGTAAACAGTATAAAAGTTTTTGAATATTTTTTTGCGACAGCCTATGGTAACGCTTATTAACCTCAAGCATATGTTCAGCCTTTCCTTTATTCCACATCGCCCGGCTTATCCATAAATTACCCAGGTTACGTCCGGTTAGCAATAAATATCCATTAATAATAGCTACGTCTACACGTGGCTAATTGCAAACAAGCTCTCTTTGTCCTGAACAGTCCCATTAAGCCTCATCGGCCTGGAAGAGGTCCGGGTGGACGTCAAGCATTATGACGATGTCATGATTTTTAATTATGCATCGGACCTGGCTTCCATGAGTGACATGTAAATATACATCAAGATGATGTGCCTTTTAAACCGATATAGTCCATATCGTTCGATGAATTCTTGACTACAGGTTTTTAGGTTTTCACAAAATAAGGTCAGCACTTATTGTCACTAAGCGCGAGATAATTTAATCCGAAGCGAAGAGAAAAATACAAATCGTTAATCTCTTAAAAGCAGACATGCTGGCAATGTTTTGGCAAAATAGGAACCGCTGTTATAAATTTCAATAATGGCTATTTTTTAACACCATTCAGAAACTAAATTGTTATAGCCATTGTAATCAGGCTAACAGCTTCATTGTTTAGTTTCGTTTCGGTTTCTCTCGCCTCCACTAATCCCCAGCCACTATTAATCGAATTGGGACGACTGGTAGTTTAAGTGAAGTGGAATTTAAATAATTCAAATGCAGTAACATTGGATTCTTATTCAACTATTGAACAGCGTATGCCCAGAGCATGACGACAAATATGACCAGTTGATAAGGGTAAAGTAGCCATAACGGAAAATGGGCAAATTAAGTTATGCGTGTGAAATGCGAATTGTTTTACACGAAGGAATTTGCAAATGACCGGAAATTAAATTATTCAGATCCGATGTGTCAGAACTTTTGAGTTTATTCTTGTGTAGAAGACAGTGAATTTCAACTGAAATAACAACAAATGTTTCATTGTGACTTTAGTTTCAATCTTCTGAATTAAAAAATTGGTACCAGTTAGAACATTTTGCACTGAGAGAAAATAAACAAACGACAGTTGATAATAGTGCAACGATAATAATGAATAATCAGTGAACTTTCTGGAGAAAGCCCAAGTTCAGCACGGATGGTGAACTCGAGGAGATAACCTCGTGCTATGTTGATTAGGAATTGAAAATATCGACAGTATGACAAGTTTTACCAACAAAAATACATAATATATCCAAGTGCCCTGAAACATGTTGCCAAAGAGCCAACAAAATGTGTTTAAACACATCTGCTCGTGCTGTGATTGGACGCAGGTAGGCTGAAACGTCTAAGGCGCAAGCTTCAAATATATTTTTTTTTAATCCAAAGAAAAACATGTTGTAGAAATTCCAGCGCCGCTTTCAAATGAGAAGAGCCTGCAAGAGTAATGCAAGTGAACTCAGTATCCATAAAGTGCTAATAGCAAACCGAGGTGAAGTAGCATGCAGAATAATCCGCACCGCCAAGAGAATGGGTATAAAAACGGTAGCTGTATATTCAGTCGCTGATTCACAAGCGGTTAGTGTTTTTGTCGTATTTTTTCAATTAAGCACTGATCAGCTTTGTAGCAGTAATCCAAATTGACTAAGCGGATTTTCGAAGGTTTAACAATTGAATTAACAAATTTTTCAGGCGCACGTGCAACTGGCTGACGAGAGGGTCCTTATTGGACCTTCTTCAGCAATAAAATCATACTTAAGCATTCCAAACATTATGGAAGCGGTTCGTAAAACTGGAGCTGATGCTGTACATCCAGGATATGGCTTCTTGTCCGAGAATTCAGAATTTGCAACCGTTCTTGTAAGTAAGGCAGGACAAGGATTAAGATTAAGAGCCAACTCCGAAGTGACGCCGCTTTTATATATGGTGATTGTGCATTACAGGAATCAGAGAACGTCGTGTTTATAGGACCATCCGCCGATGTTATTTCCAGAATGGGCGATAAACTAGAGTCAAAGCGAACGGCACTGGCGGCCGGCGTGAATGTTATTCCTGGATTTGATGGCATCGTCACAGATGCAGATCATTGTATTCACATTGCAAGAGCCATCGAGTATCCTGTTATGATTAAGGCAGCTGCAGGTGGAGGTGGCAAGGGTATGAGAGTTGCCAGAAACGACCTAGAAGTAAGGTAGAATCACAGTTCCTGCGTTCAAAATAAGGCCAGGGCTAAAGAGGATAAACATTTGTACTTGGCACACCGGACACGGCGATTCTCAAAAATGTATCAACCACGAGTTTCCGCAGCTTGCTAATATCCAAGCCAACTTGGATCAGTTTCGTTGTCAATCAAAACTTGTCTTTTTGTTTTGTTAGGGAAGTCTTCCTACTCTGCATTCAAGAAGCGATCTCCAGTTTTGGAGATAATCGCATGTTGGTGGAGAGATACATAGATAATCCTCGACATATTGAGATCCAAATACTGGGAGATCGACACGGCCATGTTATTCACTTGAACGAACGAGAATGCAGCATTCAGCGTAGGAACCAGAAAGTAATCGAAGAAGCTCCAAGGTAGTGGGCGCGGCAGTTATAATGTGAGCTTCCAGTAGGAGTTATTTTCAGTGTACTTCTAGATGAAGGAAAAAGAGAAGACATGGGAAAGCAAGCAGTGGCGTTCTGCAAGCAATTGGGTTATTTCTCAGTCGGCACTGTTGAATTTCTGATGGACCGAGCCAAACAATTCTATTTTTTGGAAATGAACACCAGGCTGCAGGTGGAGCACCCAGTGACCGAATGTATAACTGGCATAGATCTGATTGAGGAAATGTTCAGAGTGGCAAATGGTTTTCAATTGAGAATGACTCAAGCTGATGTGAAAATAAATGGGTGGGCTATAGAAAGTAGGGTGTATGCAGAGGATCCTTATAGAAATTTCGGGTTGCCTTGCACTGGCAGGTAAGAGGCTTTAGTGACAAAATCTCTGAATTTTAAAATTTGTGGTCACAAATAGCGGCTTGGCATTTTACTTTTTACTTACAGGATTTACAAATATCAAGAACCTCAGCATCTATTAGGAGTGCGCTGTGACAGTGGCGTTAATGAAGGCAGCAAAATCAACATGCACTATGACCCGTTGATATCTAAGCTGATTTGTCATGCCAACACCCGAGAGGACGCCATTCAAAAGAGTATCGAAGCATTGGATTCTTACATAATAAGAGGAATCAGTCACAATATACCTATTTTGCGGGATATCCTGAGCCAACCCACATTTCACGAAGGTAGTATTAGCGCAAACTATTTGCCTGATACATATCCCGAGGGATTCAAAGGACTTAGCCTGAAGGAACGTGACAGAAGTCAACTGGTAGCTGTTGCGGCAGCCTTATTCGTTGCAAATGAGCTAAGGAGTCGCTCCTTGATCAATATTCCCAACTTCCAGATACGCGTAGAAGAGCAGGATAGCTGGCATTTGTTTATTAACTTCGACCAAGAACAGCTCCATGTAGACGTCTGCCAGACGAATGGCCAATTTCGAGTTGACATTGCGGGAAGCGCCACATTTTCCATAGACAAAAACGATATGAAATTGTCTGAGCTTATTATCAATCCAACAGTGGATGGCAAAACTCGCGTTTTCCAATTGCTCGCAAAGAGCGCTGGCGGTGAATATCAGATAATGTAGGAATAGACGTGAATCAAATGGTTTTCGCCCCGCCTATTACATCACACGGTTTCAGATACAAGGGCAACCTATACACTCTGTATATTCTCTCAAGAAAAGCTTCTAAATATCTGAGGCTAATGCCAAAAAAGCTGCACGAAGACCAGGTCAATGAAGTGCGAGCACCGATGTCGGGGCTGGTCAAGTCAGTATTATGCTCAGAAGGAGACTGGGTGATGAAAGGTCAAGAACTCTTGGTTATAGGTTGGTATATCTGATTCAGTAATCACACTGTCAAGTTATATTAACTAATGTTATTGTTTTATTTTTCAGAGGCAATGAAAATGCAAAATTTTCTGGTGGCTCCTTCGTATGCACATGTTAAAGACGTCATTGTAGATGTGGGAGATACAGTTCGAAACGGTGAGACTCTAATTCGATTAGATTGTTGACAATTTGTCTGTCTATTTGTAACTATTATTCTTATGCTTTCCTATGCTATATTGAATGGTTCAGATGATTAAAAATGTTTAATACTGAAAATGGCTCCTTAAACTCCGAAATTCATCGGTTGATTATTTAAAATACTACTGTTTGAAATATCCCGCTTTCACTGGACTGTCATGGTCGTTAAAAAAAACGTTTTCGGGGTAGATATACCCTATTTTATATACTATAATATAAAAATTGTACATGACTTCCTAAAGCTACTTAATAAATATTTCAAAGCTTGATTTCTGTTTCATATGGAAATTTCATCTTAATCTGGATTTCGTTTCGAGCTGCACAAACATTCTATTGACCTTTCGTTATTCACTACTGCACATTTGAAAAACTTTCTCCAGAGACGGAAAAGAGACATTAAATTTTTACGCTTTGGAACTGGTTCGTCYACAGACATGAAAAAATCGAACAATTTGATCTTTTTACTTTCTTATTTCATTTCCTCATTTGCTCTAGTGCAAATCTACTGCTAACTGCTAACTTTWGAAATGCTACTTTGCAAAATACCTCCATTACTCTAAGCATCAAAGGTATGAGTAATTTCCATATAAATTCCGTTGCGTCTAATGAAATTAGGAATCGCTAAGAAGCGGCACTTTGCTGCATGTGTTGCAGTAAACTAAACATGAAATGCAACTATTTACATGAAAATATCGTTCCGTACGGGAAAGTTTCTTCATCAGTGTACATTCGGCGTTAGCGACCCTCTGGTTTTGATTAAATTGGGACTTTGAAGCTAGAACGCGCTCATTTCTATAATGCATTTTAAAATGATATAATTTTGTTCGTTTGAGTGCATGCAGCCAAACATGTGCGTTCATGTTCACCAAATTGTCATTAAAACCATCCAGTCCATATATAAAACACATCCATTCTAACATTAAACAATTTATTGCTATCATTAGTACAAAGTTTAGAGTCTAAACTGCTCTTTTGTCGTCTGCACATACTCCGTCCGGGGCAATAAATAAACACTGAATAGTGTTAGATTAGGGCAGTTAGGCTGAAGTTGGGTAATTCAAAGATAGTGGTAGATTTAAATTTTCCAAGAATGGCTTTTGCAAAATCTAACTTTTCCTGCGATAACTTTAAATAGTTTCACCTGGCTTTGGATAATCCGGTAGCACATTTTGTTCATAGACACGAGAAGTGTGAGTGCGATTTGCTACATGCACCGGAACCTTTGTAAAAAAATTACTTTTGAACATTAACTATATATCTGGTTATTCACGTTCATCAAGCATTATAGATCTACTGGACTTATTATTATCAGTAAAACCGCATGATAAAATGTGAAGATTTACATGCAAACTCACTGCATATACTGTTCTCGTTTTCACATTGATTTCATTCCGAAACATTAAAAGTGATTCCTGTTCAGTGGCATCCTGAAAATTGCAAATTTTCCCAAAACTTCAAATGGTGTTTTCAGTATCCATTAAACAGCAGCAATATTCAGATAAATTTAATAATAAGCTCATGATGTTGACTTCGTTGCACATCTAAGGACTGCTACTGAATAAATTCATGAATCAATTGCTGAATGAAAATCAATTGTTTGCAAATAAATTCTATATCGTCCAGTCTTCTTATAAGCCTTATAAAATCGTTTTAGATCTATTATCTTGCCCCTCTTTGCTTCATTAACACCTCTCAAAGTTCTCAGTGAACTTAAAAACGAAACAGTCGTAATTCAAGCAGACATTGATGACATTCTAGTCGAACTACGCCACAAGTAACAATAAGGCTAAAATTCATTAAATCCATCTAACAATGGGCCTTTACTCCCCTTGCACTTGAAGCCCCCTACGTGAGACAGACACCCCTGCGGGGCAGGATAAAGTGCATAAAAAACCCCATTGCGGCAATTTAATAATGTTTCCGCTCGCACGCACCCTCCGGCTCGACGCCTGCTTAGTTCAATTTGATTTTGCTGACATTTTTCTTCAGTTTCAATTTTTGCGGAAGAAATATTCTAATCTGGCATGCTTAGAATGTGTCGGAGTTGGCCGGGCTAGGTAAGTAGCAGAAATTAAGATAGGTATGGTATAACCGATATTCCGATCTAATCATACTATGCTAAATTTGTTACATTTATGTGTGTAACACTGAAGAAACTGGCCGAACACCAGATTCACCCAAATATATGTATATGCATAAAACATCATTAATTAAAACGAATCAGAACATAGCTAGAACGGCGTGTCTCCAAATGCGCAAACACTAGCTAATAAAACTTTTCACTACTAAACTAACTCGAACTCCTTAAAACTTGGCACGACATTCGAGTTACGGAAGACTGTACAAATACAGGTATTAGGAACAACTTAATACAAGTTTACGTTAAATATGCCCGCTTGCAATCAGATAATGCTTATTGCGAATTAAAGTGATACGATGCCTGTTAATTATTTTAAAAACAATGGTATGCTCCAAACCATTTTAATGTAACTTTCACTAGCAAAATAAGTAATTAATGAATCGCAACTTACATGGGAATTTCCATGAGAGTAACATAATATTTTCAATTAATTATGAAAATGGAGTGTGTATTAAAATTATTAGGGCATCGTTAATTTGAACCATATAGCCTCCGGTTGGAATAAAAGTTTCACAAAGGAAATAAGAAACTTAAATAACTTGCTAAGGAACTGGAGCGCTGCCTTATATGCACTTGTAAAACTAAGTAAGTTTTGCGCAAGTTTTTGCTTCTTTTTCAGTTGAAGAATAATGGAGTCCTGTTAGTGTTGAAACATGAGTTGACTATTTTGTTCAGGAACTTCGTATAATTAAGACAGGCATTTTATATAAAATTTCGGTAATTTTTATTGTTCTTTTATTAGCCAGATTATGTAAGCCATTATGACAGTTGTAGAATACACTATTCGTATTAGTGTATTAGGAGTGTGCGTGTCACCTTTGTGCTGAAAATGTCTTTGGGAGCCTAACAAAGTGATGCATGTACAAGCAGTAGCTTCTACTTCATATACATACCAGCTAGTTCTTTTTACAGCCTTTGAAAAACATTGCATTCGAAAGCTTTAATTGTGAAAAGGTCTACCAAAACTAGATAAATGTTCAAGTGCTGTTCTTCAAGTCAAATGCCGGACGGAAATAGCGTGCGTTCGATTTATTTTTCATTGTACAGTTTGACCAGGGATCAGTAAAAAACACATCACAAACTCGGCTCTTGAAAAGTGTAAATGTAACCGCAAATCAAATCAGAGCCTTTAATTGGCGATAACAACTTTTAAGTAAATTGCTTTGTATTAGAAGGTCTACTTCAGAGGGAGAGAAGGAAAGGGAGCGGGACTTAAAAGATTAGTTTGCGTGGAAATCAGATTAAATACATATAGACGGAAAGAGGCAATCAATGAACAAATTAAACTTTCTAAGCATACACTGATTAAACTTTTAATCTTTTGGGCGGTTTTGTTTGGATCGGAATCGCTCGACTGCAACAAATTCCTCAATACCGCTAAGCTTTCAGCGGGTTTTTTCTAGAGTTAAATTCACTTTGCCCAGCTACGGATAAAGTACAGCTGTCTGAGCATTCCAAGCAATTTACTTTTGTGCTTGAATGATATTCCGTTCTGTTAATCGTCACAAACCTATCCTCAATAACATGCATCTCGTAGAATAAATATGGGAGCTTCCTAATACAAATCGCTTCGCTCGGGCTGTAGATTAAAATTTTTCGTACGCCAGGGCGTATTAAAAACCTGAAGTTTTACGGAAACTTTCCAAATGTAACTATGAAACTATCTCATATCGTAAGGAATAAAAGATTTATACCGTTTTAAAAATTTTAGTATAATTTATCTTGGGATCCTAGAATACATTTTCTTCAGCTGAAAACTTTAATTCAATATTGTTGGAAGATGCAATTTGAAGTAGGACAAATAAAGCAGACTTTTCTTGTCAAAATATAGGCGTGTCTGTAATAATATGTTTTCTGGTTGCCTCGCTCATTCCCTACTTTATTAGCACAATCAATTTATGCTTGTCCGAAACGAAAACGTTCCAGTAATCGTCCCAGCAACCATTTTCTGCAAATAGACGTGACACAAATCAATATACGTGTCGTATTATGAAGGGCTGACCGATCCGCACTCACATCTCGTCATGGACCTTCAGGGTCTCACAAGACAGGGGAACTTTAAATCATATAGTCAGCGCTAATTTGGTCTTGCAACAGGGTTTTCAATTTCTAAAAGACTTTGGAATCATCACGGATAGTCTGGACTAGGGCTCGGAATCAAACTTGAATAATTCGAGAATTCGAATATTCGAATATTCAAAAGACGAATAATTATGTGTAGTCATAACTCAAATATCTGAATATTCGAATACTCGAATACTCGAATACACCAACATTATCAAACTCACAAGGTGCAAATATCTTTATATGCACTTTGTATACTTTCATAAAATAAATGATTCATATTCTACAAGCATTTAAACAAATATCAATATATTTACAAGCAAATGAAAATAATAATTTACTTTCCTGCAAATAAATATAAAATTACGTCACTGTGTTCTGGTGATTGGCCGAATATTCGAATTTCAGATATTAAAAAACTATGAGCCCTATTCTGAACCTTCATAGCGAAAGGAATTTGTTTCAATACGATGCAACTATGTCGAAATTTACTGCACCATCTACTACAACCAAATAAAAACGAATTAATTTCTCAATCTCTATATATATAAAAATGAATATATGTCTGTTTGCCTGTCCATAAAAACTCCAAATTTAACCATGATAGCACCGAGCTACAAGGCTGAAATTCTGTATGTTTCTTCGTTTATTGGAGAGTAACTTCCTGGCATAATAACTCTTTTAGTTTTTGCCTCTCGGATGAGATCCATGGGAATGTTCTAGAAAAATTGCACACGTAACTACAGGTCAACGTGGGCTCCGCCACGGGTCGCTCCCCTTGTATTATATAAATACATCTGATGAGTAATTTGCAAACGACATTTGAATATTATTTCTATCCATTTTTTTTTAATAGAGCGTAGATAACCCAATCTAATGTACGCGTCGGAAAATCAGCAGCTATGTGGAGGTCATTTCGCATCGCTGGGTGCTCTTTATGCCACTTAAATGCAAAAAAAGATCACAAAGAATGTGGCGGAGCGTAACGCACACAAGTCATTTGTGACTAAATTGAGCCGTGTTTTTCTGTCGTTCGAACGCAAGAGAATTGCCAGGAGGCTGGAGGAAAGCCGGTTATTTTTCCACAACGGAAAAATAGAATTATCATAAAGCGATTATTTTTTATTTTTCATCCGTGGCACCGCTACCTACGGTTGAACGGTACATTTAACAATTGTGATTTCTTTCCTCTTTTTTCCTAAAGATTTATTCATATGAATCCCAGTTTTGGTGTTTTCATGCTTGATGAGAGGACTGAATTTGACATAGATGTGTGAACAACGTGCAACGTGCTCTGCCAAGTTATACTTGTAAACCTAGTACAATCCAAAGACAGGAAACACTAGAGAAGAAGAAAGAAGAAATTAATTTGAGTAGCGCAAAACTGTTATTTACTGGAATAAAACTGGAAGTATTTATTCGTTTAAAATGCCTATTTGCGAAAGAATCGTAACATGCAGCAACAAAGACATTATTTCCTTTACACTGTTTTACGTCAAACAAAACCAACTACACATGAATGGGACTGCATATCCACAGAAAATCGTCGCATTTTTGCCATCATTACGACTCAGATATGATTACGCTACAGGCCTTTCCGGACTTTGCAATGCCTTTCCCCATTATGGGTCACGTGCAGCACGCCATACGCAATTAGTTTTATTATATTCTGACAATGTTACAACTTTGAGCGCCTCTAAATACACAATCCGCCTCAAGCAATGCCGATTTCACGGCTGCTCTCGTTAGTTTCACTTGAACTAGATTGTATGGATATCGTTGTGGCTCCCGCAAAAAATAAAAAGGTATTAACTGCTTAGTTATATGTGCAGAGGGTACTGCTTATGAAATCCTTCCCATCAAAAGTCAAGTCCATTATTCCGATTAGTCTGTATCGCTGCAGTTAAACAGATTAAATTGGAGAACGCTCCAGAACCACAAAACTTTTTCCAAGTAATGAGTTGTTTATGATTAAATAAATCTATAACTTATTTTATTAATGGTAATAATAGGTTATTCTTTCGTCGATCATAATTCAAAATACGAGTCTCCAAAATGAACGAATCAATCTATCCGCTTCTAAATCGAGGACGTTTTAGCTGCTCGTCCTCGCTCCGATACGATCTTTTAATTAGACTATAAAAATGTTAATTAGTTATTCATTTGTCGCCTTTTATTTAGTAGTCAGCTCGCGCTTGGATGACATCCACCATTGAAGTAATTTCTATTAACACTTTTGAGGATTTAGCTAGTGGGCTTCGAGTTCATGGCACAATTGTGTCAGTTTTAAAATTTTAGTAACACATGGGTTTTCAAATGATTGGATTGAAAATTGCTGAAAATGGCAAACGGTGTGGAATTAAGAAATCTAAGGTCGATCCAGGAAACTGTTTCCCACCAACTTGCAGATCGAAAATTGACTCAAACTGCTTATTTGAATATTTAGTCAAAAGTTTCCTTTTATGATTCTTGATTAGGCCATTCAGAGCTTTATCGTATGTACATGTCGAATTTAAATTAGCTTAATGGTTGATTCGATAGATTTTGAGCCATGACATTCTTCTTATACTGTTAAACTTAGAAAAATTGGTTAAAAAATATGCATTTTATTAATGATTTTACATGCATTGCATTTCCCATTTGATTATAATTAAACGACAGTCATACGGTCGTATAGTATGATGAGTAAGAAACGTCTCGCACTAACCAAATTATTCACTAGGGCTACAGCTAGTGGTATTTCCTTTTCTTCTGCTAAAAATCATTTTTTAAGATGTGTATGGTTTTTTTTCAACACATAGCTTTTGAGTCTAGAGTCGCTTCTATATGCAAATATAGAGTGTTTGAGTCTATAATAAATAACTTAAAGTTGATGATATCTAAAGAAAGTGTGTACATAGAATATGTACATAGAACTTTTTCGAATGAAAATTCTAAATTCAATTAATAACTAAAGAAAACTCCGTTTTAAGAAACTCATTAATGAAACCGCAATCATACATTCGTAAAGTATGCTATAAAGTAGAGAAAATTACCAATTAAAATTTCGATCATGAAATACAAAATGTTACTCGTTTGTACTAATTATAGGGTAGAAATCCAATGTCCAAGTGTGTGGTGAAAGATCGTACGAGTGTCGAAATGTCGTACTAATTATAGTGAATATGCAGCTTGTATTTTTCTGTTATTAGAGATAGTAGATGCATTTACCAATTTAACTGGTACTTTTCCTCGTGCAAACAAAATATTTCTTGTATGCTACTTTGTATTTCAGAACTGCAGCAATAATTGTAATGTGCGAAGAGATACTGTCTTAAAGATTTGCTTTCATGCCTCTCTAGAAGACTGGCCGAGTGCCATAAATAAAGTGTCTAAACTTCACAATTTTTTCTAAATGTACCAGTAGCTGGTTTTCAATTCAATCGTGTCAGAATATCGGTGAATATTTATGGTAACTAGTAATGGGTATGAAAAAGGCTGTTCACTTGACATAAGCTATTTTCTTCTTAACGAAGCATTTTTCAAGCTTGCTGGAAATTTATCAATTAATTGCATATAACATCTCGATTTAAATGCGCACCGCAAATAGCTAATTGTTTATATCAAGCAACTGATGGCGTGTTTTGGATGAAAATTTGCTCAAAACTGAACACGCCAATTTTGTATAATACATTTTATAACAAAATTATTATTATAAAATGTATAACACAACTGTTTCTTTATGAGTTTCAATTTTCGATGTTCAAACTTCTCTATAAATTTTTTTCTTCTGTCATTTTTCTTAATTGACAATAATCAATTTGATCTGTTGTCAATATGAGTTGTCTTGTTGAATTCTGTCAAATTTTCTCAGAGTAAAACCGTTGAAAGTCAAGACGAAGCATGTCTCAAGCAGTTTTAGCCGCTTGCTCAAAATTGTTTCTGGTTAGTGGATTCAACCGTGGATCCTTGCACAACATGGCAACTTTTCCCTTCCATCATGTCCCCATCGTCATTGAGCAATCTGGAAAGGGCGAACGAGCCTTTGACATTTATTCGCGTCTCCTGAAGGAGCGAATTATTTGCCTGATGGGCCCCATAAACGACGTCACTAGCTCCATCGCCATAGCTCAGCTGCTCTATCTGCAGTCTGAATCTACCTCTAAACCAATTCACATGTACATAAATTCACCTGGTGGAGTAATAACTTCGGGTCTAGGAATTTACGATACGATGCAATACATCATGCCTCCGATATCCACATGGTGTGTTGGTCAATGCTGTAGCATGGCGTCTTTACTATTAGCAGCCGGCACAAAAGGTAACACACAGCCTTAACAACAGCACTTGCAGTTTGGTAAATGAAAATTGAAATCATGTAATTCGTTCAGGTATGAGAAATTCGCTGCCCAATGCCCGGATTATGATTCATCAGCCTTCGGGTGGCGTAACGGGACAAGCCACAGACATCAAAATCCAAGCCGAAGAGATACTCAAGCTAAAGCAGCAAATCAATCAACTGTATGAAAAGCACACCAGCATGCCTTTAGAGAAGGTGGAGATCAGTCTGGAGCGGGACACTTTTATGACTCCGAAGGAGGCAATGGAGTTCGGTTTAATTGATCACGTACTTTCACGACCTCCAAAAAGTGAACAGACAACACCCTTAATTAATATTTCGAAAGTCACTCCAGTAAAGAAGGTTGGCGGTGGTGTTCGAGCATCTACTGTTGATTTAAGTCCCAACGCAAAATAAATGTTAACTTTTCTCGATTAAAACAAAACTTCAAATCAGCCGTTAAGAAGGTTTTAGTGCGTTCGAATTTCCTTTAATTAAACACAGCCTGGAACACCTAAAATGTGTTGTCGATAAAAGCTTAACATCCAGTTACAAGTAGATAATATCAGTGTACCAAAAAAATATTTTGGGAGAATAGGTGAAGGATTACTACATTTCCTGGCAAATTTAAAAGTATGACTGAGGTTAGATGTTTGGTGCTTCCTTCACTAAATTTCAGCATTCTTGATCCAAGTATTCAAAGTGGCATAATTTATCCCTTTCGATTCTGCTCAGTACTTACTTCTGTATTGTACTTATATAACAACTTTCTTGACGTAATGACAATCTTGAAATGAAGTTTGCCCGCGGTGTGATGTATATGAAAACAAAATTTAAGTGGCACGTCTTGCAGCAGGCTGTTCTGCAAATGCGAAATATCTGTGTTTTGTGTTAAGGATTTTTCTCAGGCACGACGCAATTTATCGCTAGTAAAATTTGGCGTTATCGTAAAACTTAATATTGAATAGTGTTTACGAGCCGACTCAGTAGGCGAATCCATTTTGTATCTGAATCGGAAAAACTGTATCTTTATGGCTTCGCATCTTTTGCCACGACAAACGCTTTAAATCATTATTTAAAAACATTTTGGCTGAACGCTATGTATCGAAGAAATTCAATTTTGCATGTGAAGATACTCAACTTTAACACGAATACAGGCAGTATGCATATTTGATAGCAATAATTTTAATGGGTTTACCTCGATTATTTATACCGTTATGTGCAAGAAAAATGTATAAGTATATGGTTTGAATACTTTCAAACATTACAAAAAGCAACCTAAGTAACTCATACAACTTGTCCACATAGAACTGTAACAATGTCGTTTCGCGATAAAACTTCTTAACGTAGACCATTCCATTTCTCTAAGTCGATATATTGACGAGCCCGAGTACTTAAACGACTTACTGATCAATAAAGGTCCAATTACGATAGTGAAACTGGCCCTCTTATAATGTTGTGCAAATTCTAAAGTTCTTGGGTCCGTTTCCGTACCCTAGATATCTGCGTTCTCGATGGTCGTTACCAGCATCGTTTTGAATGAAAATAAAAAAGGTTTCTTGGTGCCATGTAATAATAAAAGTGAAATGTTTGTTTAAATTATGGTATTTTTTCTTTAGCAAAGTAATTGCTATATAGAATAGCATTTCTGAGAGAGAGGGACAATTATTCTGTTATAAAATCTTGTGTACTCCAGTTAAACACAAATAGACCACCCCATATCACAATAAACAACACCCGTTTGACTCAATCACCCAACGTGTCACACAAAGTCACAGTGGGTTGCTCCCAACGGGTGCTAAAGATAACAACTCATTTTCTATTTACATAGACTACCAGCAGAAAGGCCATAAGGGTGCCTTTTTTTATGAAATATCATAAATTAAAAAAATGATGACAAGATGGAACGTTCTATTGTTTGTTCTTTATATTTTTAGGCCCATTATTTTTATATGACATCTGCTTTATTTTGTTTTTTACATCAGTTACAAAGAAATATTGGATGTGTTTTAATTTTGTATTTAAAGCTTTCAATTTCATCTGGTTGAATTCGGCTCGTTCCAAAAGTCATCACAGTCAAATTTGTTTATCGAGGTTTTTACATACATGGAAGGCGGCAACCGATTTAATGTGTTTCTATTGAGCTGTCAACAGTTTGTTACCACTTTATTTGATTTAGATTCTGCAACGAGCAGGAACTTTCGAGGAACAATGAAACAATACTAATTGTTTTGTCTTTCAATATTTCCATGACCCGTCGAATGTCCAATTCCATTGTGTACTTAAGGCTGTGACATTCTTTGATTACAATACGAAATCATTCTGTTATCTACCTGTTTAGCTAATATCATTGTTCTAAAGATTTTTGACTAAACAACAAACCCCACACCAAAATACTTATTAGTACAGTGTTTTTATACATCACAGTGGTGACAATGGTTAGTCCACTTTTTTATTGGTTAAGAACTTCACGTGACTAGGACCGCCATTTTGTACATTTAACTGTAGTTTTATCACCCTTACTGACCCTGGCTGACTTTTATAAGGTACCATATTTGCGTCTTTTTTATAAGGTACCATATATGAGTTATGTCAATCCTACCATTAAGGGCCAACCCTTGGACAATATTATATTTGTGTTCCCATAATGAATTTACCACAGACTGAACAGTTGGTCTAGTTTGCGAGCAATGAAATATTACTTGCTAGTAATAAATAAGATCATAAGTTTTTGTTAACAGTCAAATTTAGAGCATTTAAATAAAATATTTGTGAAAATAAAGTTTTCGGTCATTGATTGTTAACTTTGGACATGTTTGAGTAGTGTTAATTGTGTTTTAACTTAACTATTTGAAACAGCAATTAGAGTGGGTCTTAGAATACTGGGTTGTCTATGTGTGAATCCTTTTGAATTTAAACACCTGATTGTAGGTAAGCACACGATTTGTAAATTTCGCATAACCTAATATTGTAAGAGAAACACATTACATATGTTGATTTATCTGTTTTAATACCTGGGACAATACTCAGCAATCGTTACAAGTGGGTCTATTACAGACTTGCTTTAAAAAACACGTTAAATTTATAACGAAAAACGAACAAGACTGAAAAGCTAAACTGCATTTCCATTGCGGAGAACAATTCTTATCAAGTGCTGAATTGCATCTCGATTCCACTTGCTTAACTCTTAAGGAGAGGCATTTCTTATACAGAAAAAATCATCTTTAACGCTTGTTTCTAACTTAATCACTAAATGTTTTATATAATAGCAACCATTTCAAATAAAAATTGAACGCGAAAAGATCACAGCAGAGATCTGTTGTAGCAAAATAGATTTGCCTCATAATGGCGGATGGGAGGAGCTTTGGTCCTATTGTCGCTACTGTGGTTAAAAATAAATCATGGTTAGCTATTTCTAAAATGAATCGTTCATAGTACAGGTAAGTTTAGGACCAGCGGATTAACGTTTGAGATGTTACAAGTTCAACACTTGTTCCAAAAATACACCCTGCATTGCCTTAGACCTTTGCATTCTACAGTTTATTGCCTTGGAAATAAAGCGGCTTAGACTCGTCCATACAGAGCAACTGAGGAGTCAATATTAGTTGCAAACATTTCCAATAACACTTTGATTGATAAAAGCAATAAAAAGAGCCATGAGTAACTCATTTACTACGTTACTTGCCAGGCTTAATAGAAAGTTATTTACCTATACAGGCCAATAAAATTCTCAAGGCAAGAAAATTTGCTTCTAATGTTTTTTATTCAACATGCTGCTACCCAATTTAAAATGAAACGGTTATTCAACGTAGACACAAACATTAACATTTAGTGACACTGCTTAAACAATAGGCGAGTCCGATTCGAATCTAATTAATAATGAATCAAGGAGGTTTGCAAGTTTGTCCCCGAAATGCGCCTAATTTAATTTATCCTTTACTGACCAGATGGAAGCAAAGCGTGCAACCCCGATGAAACTGCCGTTCCCCACAGACCATAAGGGACAAGCACAGAAGCACTGAGTTGTACAGTTTCGGGCATTCCATTTGTCTAGTGATCGTCGTCATAGTTTCAGGATGGACCTCGGAGCACCAAACGTAGTTCAACTGATAAAAATATTCTCCGAACCGAAAAAACTTTAAAATATTCAGGGCTGATGTAATCCTCGCTGGAGCAAATCTGCATTGATACTCCAAGGAATGGACCTTTGAATAAAACGTACTAGAACAAGTGCTATTCTATGCGGATGGTCGACCTTAATTAAAATGCACAAAGACTTGTTATCTCTCATTAGACTAGATCCATCATATCCGGCCATGTTATTAATAATTAATCACAGTAAATGTTCGTACATAATTAAAAGTTGCTTAGTCGGTCGCACTGAATGACTATAAATCGTCTAATAAGAAATGTGTGAAAATTCAAATTCAAATTCAAAATTTATTCAAAAATATAGATATGTTAACAGAAAATTATTTGTCAATTTACAATTCATATAATGTAAAAATTATTTTTAGAGTACCTAGATACCTTGTACCTGTATGTACTCATGAGGTTACAATTTTTTTAAGTCAGTAATACTATTTTTATTTTCTCTCCTGGTTAACAAAATCCACATAGCATACATGTATATTCTTACCTAAAACTAGCAACTCAAAACATTTTCCCCAGAACTCAACTATTGAGAAAGTATCTGAACAAATGTATTCCTGTGTATAGTAATATATTCTCTGGATTTTTTATTAAACAAATTGAAGTTATTTTTTGATATTATTATAGTTGGCAATAAATTATACAATTTTGGGGCTACATAATTAAGAAACCTAAGATGAATTGTTTGATTATTTTCTTCACAAGAATAAATAGTATTTTAGAAAAAAAAACTGGAGACATTCTGGTGTCCCACATTATGAGCTCTGGACATTGCACGCTTCTTATTTGTAGACCACATATTAGAGAAACAATAGAAATGTATTTAATATTGCTCAAAAAAGACAACTGCTTATGAATTTCTCAAATATAACTGGAGAAAATTATAACAGCCAAAGCACGTATACAACGAGAAAACTTGCTAAGTAGTCTCAAACGAGTGTTTGTGTTTCATCCAAAAAGTTTCACTGATTCATGAATATTAAGCAGAATTAGCGATTGCATGGGAACCCTAAAGTTTAAGCAAATGCGAGAGCTTTGTTTTATTATCAACCAATAAAGCTCTTGTATTCGGGCGGGATTAGAAATGCAAACTTCCAAGGAAAACTTTCACCCGGAGTGACATTTTTCAGTTTATTGATTTTTCAATTGAAATTTTTGTTTCGATGTTACGGATCTCGAGCCGACAGTACAGATGCTGGAAATTGTTGGAATATCCAAGTATGTAGAATTAGTACTACAAATTAGAAAATAAGACAAAAACTCTTATAAAATCACCCAGCATAGTCTAATATGGCCAACAGCTAT